ACATTTCTTCATTGTTAACATTTCATGTTTGTCACACAATTATTCATTTCAGTTTTAAAGGACGTAGGTGTAAGTTCTCCCAATGATTATTTTTATCATTTATAAACATAAAATTCAATGTTATTTAGGTTCATTAATTACATAACAAAATATTCGTGTTGCAGTATTCGTTATCATGGTTTTGAGTTTAAATAAAATTATTCACTATATCTTTTTTATACAAAAATACATTGTCGGGTAAATAAAAAGATCATATTATGTGAGTTTAATAGCAGAACTATTTTCTTCTATTTATTTATTTTAAAAATAAACAGTTTTTTGCAATTATTATTATTTTTAATACAATACTGAAAACTTCCGTACAAACCGGAGTGCATGTGATGAAACAATTTATTTCAACTTGTAGTTCACAGCTGTAGATTTTATTGATTTTAAATCTTTAAGATAGTGTTATCATCGTCCTTAGTATGTTGAAAATGATATGGAAAATGACAACCTTAAAAGTTATTCACTTGAATAAAGAACTTTCAAAAAAAATGATTAAAATTTAATCAAGAATATGTGAATTTCCAAATAAACGAATTTGAAAAAGTTTCTTATTTTATGGATAATATTTATATATAGTACAATAAAATTATAGTAGTTAAAACATGAAACCTCTTAGCATTCAATGGATTCACCGTGCGGGTCCAACGCGTTGCAAGCTCCATTAAATTATATTATTAATATGTGTAACATTATTGAAATATTATTTGTTTAATTCGGTAATTTGTATATCTTTTTAGTGTACGAGTATGACATTTTAAGAATACGAAATAGAATATTTAAGCGTAAGTAATTTCATTTCATACAATCTCTATAGTCATGCTTTAGCAACGAAATTTAAATTTAAACTGATTCCACACCTCATATCTTAACTAATAATTCTAATCTGATATATAAAAAATAATTATTCATGATTCAAAACAAAATCATGATCTGCAGAAATAGTTCATAGCAAACTGAATTAAATAAACTCATATAAAATTTAAACATACGCTTATAATTTAGTTATTTCTTCTTTAGAAGCTAATTAATATTTTACGAATCTCATCGGCATTTCTTACAACCGCAAAAGAGCTGAGTTTTTTCAGGATAGTGTACCGATTGTTTTCTTTGATAATTAAGTATAAAAAGAAATCTTTCTAAAGTAAACGTTATTATTTTGCAAATTATAACTAAGCAGTTACACTAATTTCTTACCAAGAAGTCAGTTCAGACCAAAATACGCTTTTAATTGTAATAGAAGTTAGCAAAAATCTTCCAAAGTTGTTATGTGACGATCAAGAAATATTTTTCTCCGTAGTCATTTCGGTATCGGCAAGAATAAGTTTACAAAGAAAACGCTTGTGAGTTGTTAGGGAGTTTCATATATTTTTATGCAATAATTTCGTAGTATTTTCAAAAGTCCACAGAAGCTAACTTTCTCAACATATATAACGAATAAAATTAATAAATACACGTTATCTGTATATACTATTCGGATTACTGACTTACCTTTTATAAATAGGCATAACAAACAATACGGAATAATGTTAATCTTTTTTTTTGGAAGTGGGGGGATTATCAATGACCTCTCGTGCTCTGAGTGCGGCAAGTGGGAGTGTCAAACTCTTACGGACTAAAAACATCTCGTACTTTCTCCTGCTCTGAGCTCGGGTTTAACTAATTCTTAATATATCGGGTTTAAATAATTCCTAATATCTTAATTAATTAGAATTAATCCTTTTAAAACTAAAATCATTCTTGTTCAATTACTTATCCTTTCCTTACTGGATTGCGATGATGTTTGCTACTTAGACCACTGATGAGCTGCTCGATAAATTAGATCGGCTTTAGAATTTACGAATCCACTTTATTTTCGGCTTGAGTAAATAGAACAACATTTCTGAATTCCGCAATGAGTTAAAGTGGCTGTAACGCTTAAATACAATATGTTCAAACTCTCTCCTTCTCCGTGCCTACTTGAGCGGTTTAAATTTTTCTCCCCTAGAATCCTTCTTAATCACTCTTATATGACACAAAATCCTCTTGATATAATTGCATTAAAACAAAATTTTCTCATTTATCCTTCTCTGTCCAAGGTGAACTTTGAAACACATTCCTATCTTCTGTTTGCAAAGACAGTTCAAGTGCACTTTCCTTTAAACATTTACTTAAGAAACATCTTCTCTCACATATACCTTTATATATAATGTTTATTAAAATTATTACACAGTGAATTATGAAAATAAATTTCCTATTTTTTTATATATATGTTTATTTTTGTATGCTTGTTATATCTCTTTCTTTTTCTTTCTCATTTTATCTGTAATACCACATGTCTACTCCTGTTTATAATATCAAAAGGTTTTCTGGTAGAGATCTTTATTGGAAGATAAGTTGCCCTTAGTGCATTACATTTATTTTATAATACTGTTGTTATTACACTTTTTTTGTAAATAAATAAATAAATGAAACTAAATAAAGTAATAATATAAGTACACATGCAACTTGAAACAGATAAAATTGGAACATATTTTTGTTTTTATTTCTAAGAAAATATCTCACTAAAGTTCTGACCTTAAATGGAGAAGCTTGCTTTATCTCACTCACTTTTGCTTACAAATGTAACTTTATTAGAAATAAATTTAGTTTGTCTTGTGCAAGATAAAAATAACTTAGGAATAGGATATCGTGGCATTTGTTAATACATTTTATTAAACCTTACTCTTTTGGAGTAGATTAGTTCATATTCGCGAATATATTTCAAGATTTCGTAAAAAATTCTTTTAAGTTTATTTAAATAAAGCATTGTTATATTAGTTCTGTTTTTATAGTTGTATAAGCTGACGTCATAGAAAATTTGATAACTATTCACAGAAATCAATTTATTAACCAATTATTTTATAAAATTTCGTAAAATTGCTTATAATCTACGTAATTTTAACAAAACATATACATATAATGAGATACTAAACATTCAAATGTATTAAAAAAAACAATCAAAAGATTAGATTTAAATCAAAATACTACAAACATATTACAATATTACAAACAAGAATAAATATTCCACATTGGTAAATAAAACAACATTTGTTTATGCAAACTATGCATGATATTTTTCAATTCCTTTTTGTAATGAAATTTCATAGTTTTAAGCCCTCAATAATCTAAAGCGCATTATCCAGGTACGGTATTATGTAAAGTTTTGTGAAGCTTATGAAACATTTTGCATTTTATCAAATTAATTCCATACACAATGCAGTCATTATGTACAATGCGGTATGAGATCAACTTGAACATTTGACGTCACATCACAACGTCTCTACTTACCACATTTGATAAATGCAAGCCCGCTCTCCACTAACCAGATAAAGAAACTTGCGATAGCTTAATGTATTGTACTTAGAACTATTTATTAAACCTTCAAGAATTTAAAACCATAGTTCCACGGGTAAGAGTAATTTACATCTCTTTGTTTAATATCTCCATTTAATTCCAGTCAGTAGTCATTCGTAAATGTTAATATGAGGTTAGTTGTATAAATAATAATTTCTATATGATAATTTGTTGTTGATCATCCTTAGGCAATGTATATTCTATTTTGTATTGTAGTTCGTAATTAAACGTCAAAGACATTTCCATTCACATAACGGGGGCTTTGTTATTCTCATATGATTAGTTTAAGTACTGAACCCTTAAAAATGAAATTGTTTGAGTGTATAATTTTAGATGATATTGGTTTTTATTTACGATACTCTGAAAAGTGCGAATAATACTTTTATTATTTTCTTTTACATTTTAAAACTAATTAGTCTAAAGAAAACAAATAACTTCCTAAATTATACTTCGCCACGAGAGGGAATATCATTAACTTGAAACTTTTGTTTGCTGTTTGGTTTAATGCGCTTAAGTTGTGCTGTTTCATCTTGCTGAGAGCTTTTCTAGAATCTTTTCAACATAGCTTTGAATAGTTAATTCTCTTTTAAAATATTTTTAACATAATAATGAATCGTGTGGCTTCGTTTAATAAACAATATATTTTTTAAAAACATAATGTTAAACTCTTTAGGAAACAAATCAATTGTCAAAATTTTGTTTTTTATTTGAGAATTATATTGAAAACAGTTTTTAGAGAAAAAGGCTAAATAAAATTGATTCCTTGTTTGTGTATTTGTTGCTGTGTCGGCCTCGCTACTAAACTTTGCCAACGTTAATAAAAATACGGTCTGTTAAAACTCTGGAGTAGTTTTATAAATACCTCTGAATATTTTTCCGCGTTAAAATGTACTTTTAACAATTCAAATCCAGCGGGAACTTTTAATCCGCTTGTAAACTAAAAGTTCAACTTCAATTTAATAACTCTTAAGCTGACTGTGAAATATACCAGTTTGTCACATATTTGTGTAGCACTAATTGGATTGGACCCAATATGGTTAGTTGGTAAATTAAGACGTGCTTCTCCCAAATATTAATAATGTTAAAAAAGTCTTTTGAAGGCTAATTTTTAAAACTAAAACTATTATTGTGATGTTAAAGAACATGGAAGTACTTTTTTGTACACAGAAGTTCTAAAAAAGAACAGTGTGGTTGAAATTAGATGTATGGTTTGTTTTCTGTGCTTATAAAAATTAGAGAAAATATCTTATGCATAAATTTTAATGACCTTTTAAATATCACATAGTTAGTAAGAAAGTATATTCTTATTATTTCGTTTTAAGTACCCATAATAAATTAATGCTATTAATATTTTTTAACACTTATTTTTACATATTTTTCTTTTTTAATAACGTTTACTAGTTTACTCAAGCGTTAAGCACGTAGAAAGTTGTATAGTTAAATCTTTAGAACATGGATCACTTAGGAAGTTTTCCCATTATATTCACTATAATGTTAAACCTTACAGTTAGGAAACCCGTGAATGAAAAATTCAAGCGTATTTTATATTTAAATCTTTGATATTGTTTCAGATAAACGCCATGGAACAAGTTGGCAAGTACTTCGTTATAATTGCATCATTAATGTCTGTTGAACTGACTGTTACGGAAAGTAAAAATGAAACTAAACCGAAAATTGATAGACGGCACTACCAAATGCCACTCTTTATCAATGTCTGCGATATTGTCGATCGAAGATCCAAAGTACACTGCTACTGTGACAGTAATAAGCCCAAAATGGCAACTAGAGCAGACTGCTGGATATTCGGTGGCGGATTAACCGAGGATGATCCGATTTGGCCAAGCTTTTCCTCTCAATCCGAAATAGAACATCTCATGTTTAACGTTCGAACCGATGATGCGTTGAGTTTTGTACCAGCTAAAGCCATTGTTAGGCTTGACAGACTTAAACACTTGTCTATACAGTTTGGAACGATCAAGAGAATTTACCCATACGCATTTACAAATTCATCAACTTTAAAACAGATTGTTTTAAAATCTAATAAAATTGCACATTTAGAAAAACATGCCTTTGCCCAAATGATGATGCTCTCAAATTTGAGTCTGGATGATAATCAGATTACTGAACTTAAGAGAGAGGTGTTTTTTAATTTACCAAATTTGCACGTATTAAATTTATCAAATAATAATTTAAGTCTTTTACACGAAGGTTGTTTCAAACATTTAAATAACCTGATTGAACTAAAACTAGATTACAATTATATAACAGTTATTACAAGAGAAACGTTCGAGGGCTTGGAGAATCTATCTCGTTTAAACTTGAGAAACAATAAGTTGGCTATGGTCGGTAACTTAGCGTTTAGCGAGTTGTGGGGATTGAAAGAATTGATGTTAGATAACAACGGTATCGAATATATCTCAGAAAGGGCTTTCGGAGGACTGACACAGTTAAAGAAGTTGACCTTATCTGGGAACAAGTTGGCAACTTTTTATGATGACATTCTGGAAGATATGAGGAGTCTTATTGTCTTGGATCTAAGAGACAACCTATTGACGACAATATCATATGAAACCATACGGCCCGTTTTGAACAACGAGAAATCTCAGTCATCAGTAGTTTATTTGGATGGTAAGTACATATATGGATAAAAGTTGTTTTAGTGCAGTTTTAAGCTTAAACTCATTTAGAATTCAACTGTTGTGCCAAGAATTGCGATAAATGTCACTACAAAATTCAATTCCTTTTCATACGTTTCTAAAAGTAGGTTAATGCTTGAGGTGATTAAAGAATAAAGATTAAAATGAGCTATACATCTCTTTTTGAAAATACATGACATAAATATCTTTTACGGAAAACAGTATTATTTTAGGTCAATGTTTTTTCCATTCAATATACATACATTTATATTACACTATTAGTAACACAACATCGTAGCGAATCCTATGGTATCTATAGTTAGATTTTTTTTTACGGAAATTAAGTTTATCTAATATAAAAAGAGAAATTCAAATAGCTTGTTTAAAAAATAATCTCGATTAAAGATATTTCCATTAGCTCACTCTAAATGGATTAAGACTATAGCAGTGGAGGTTGTTATAAATTCTAGTTTCGCCACTTCGCGTAACTTTTTCTTTTGGTAAACAGAAGTTCATTGTAAGCTGAGCACGGTTATGAAATTCAAATTGCTTTGTCTTTTTATAATACAAAAAGTTCTTAAACTTAAAAACTTCAACTGAATAGGTGTTGAGGTTATTTTTGCATAACATTTAATTTAAGAAACAGAGCGGAATTTTCAGTACTAATAATGTGAGAAAAGTGCTTTAAATTATTTTATTCTTATAAATTTATTATTTTGTATTTGTCTACAACTTTTCCAACTATAATTATGAAGAGTAAATAGCTGCCACTTTTACATGAAATACCGAGACAAAAATATGAATGACGAAATCTTATTTGTTCAGCAAACAAAGTATCGTTTTCTTCTGTTAAATCAAAATGATAGAATGCCACTCAACATTGTTTACGCCGTGTAGTCTCGATAAGGCTTTTGATGTTAGAAATATATCAACAAGAATATAAAAAGGCCTGTCTTGATATGGGTGTGATTCTTTTATTTCCATGGCACATACTTGCGTAAATCACGAGTTTCAAACCCTACCCATATTTTGTAAAACATCCAATATATATTTTTTCATTTTCTCCTTTCACTTTTTATTTACAGAAATTTTTCTTCATATGTACGTACTGTATCTTGTTACGGTAAAGCTTTATATTTTCATAATATTTTCGTGAGAGTTTGGATGTAGACTATTGAAAATAGAATTATTTGTGATTCCTACAATAATTGTTATAATAATTTAAAAAATATATAATTTCTTTTCACAATTTTATTATTTTTATTTCTTTCCTAAAGGATTATTCATAAAAATATCTGAAGTAGTCTTCTTTGATAATGTACACCTTTACAGACTATGCAGGTGTACAATGAACAACATAGGTAATCCAAAAGTTTTAAATAATGCGTCTAATATTACAAAATTCTAAATTAGATTTGAGTATTACATACATAGATTGTATATTGTATTCAAAGTCATAAAAAACATATTATTTTTTGCTAACTTATAAAAATTATATTAAAAGTTTAAACGTATAACATATTTATACAAACGAAATAAATTTTCTAAAACCTTTAGCGGACCATTTATTAAATTACTATAAAAAATTGTGTGTAGTTCGAAAATTCAATTTAGAAATGTAGGTGAAGAAAACTTGGGAATCTCTTGACAACTTAAACAATATTATATTCTTTATAACTTTATTTCAATTACACTTATAGAATTAAACACAAAACTTTTGTATTTCTGTCATTCATATAATAAGAACAATTGGAGTATTAATTTACTAATAGTTGCAGTAAAAAAATGGTTATAATATTTATTTTCCACTTATTTCATTCTTTATAAAATAAATTATATTGTGGCTGATCAAACTAAAAATTAATAAATTTATTGGTAATTTTTATAGGTCAAGTGTTAAATTAAATAAAACTATGATAAACAATAATAAATTAGGCAAGTACGTCCCCTGTGTTTAATATTTTAACGATATCTTCGCAGTCACGCGATAAAGTAATGTAATGAATGTGTATAATTTTAAATCTATAGAAATTTGTTTGTTTTCATAAGGATAATATAATCGACTTATATGAAATTACTTTAAGCCTTTTTTAGTATAAAAAAGTAACATACACATTAGAAATTTGGGACAAAGCAGTCGCTTTATTAAAACGAAATAAAAATAAAGTAAATTTAGCACGGACGAGGGATAGCTTTCACAACAATATTTCAACGTCAATTCTACTTAACATCTAGAAATGTTTAAGTAAAGAATACAGTTGCAGCACGTGCGATCTGAAGATCAAAGCTATTTTTCTCCGGGAAGTGCGAGGTTCAAGTATCCGTTCGCAGTTTTCCATGCTGCCAACTTTAGTAGATAATTCTAAAACGTTCTCTGAATGTAAATTAACTCTATTCCGTAGATACCGATCGTATATTTTAAACTGCTACGTATATTTTATACTTTAAAGACTTAACAAAGAAAGCTTAGCAGAGACTAATCGTAGTTGTTTAAGTGACTCGAGTGGGTTTCTTATTTTAAAAACGTATTATTACGTTTGCAAAAAATTTCAGAAGCAGAAATACTGAAATGATTTAAGCATAAAACATGATAATTATACTTTGGGGTGGTTAAAATATTTTTTATTTGTTTTATAATGGTACTACGTAGTTTTTGCTGGGATAAAACGATCGTTTAGGGGTAATGGTTTCAAATGTACGGAAAGGAAAAGTGCATTTGTGGAAGTGCTTGAAATGTACATAAAATTTTAATTAGTATATTACAATTAATGAACGCGAAGAACTCTTGGTAGATTAGAAAAAACTATTAAAATTTAAATTTCAAACGAGCAATCTGATGCCGTGAAGCATACTAAGTATCTAGGGACTTGAGGTTAATGACTTTAAAGTCTCGACTTGGCTAATTACTGACAGAGAAGGTTCTAATTTGAAATTACTTTTGTACGTAAAATCTAATAGCGTCTTTTTTTTTCAGGTAACCCACTTAGCTGTAACTGCCGTTTATCTTGGATATATGTGCTCCGTAATGAAACTCAGGATAGTACTATGAAACATGCTCTTGAAAAAATATCATGCGTTTCAGACCCAACAAATGATAGACGAATAAGTGAACCAAAAGAGGAAGAGGTCGAGAATAGTAACATTTTAGCAGATGATCATTATGATTACTATGATAAAAGTGACGATTATAGTAATGACAAAGAAAAAACTAAAATAGGTACAGCCATTAAGCTGATAGATATACCCTTAGAGACTCTCCCTTGTCCGAAAGAATTAATGCAGTCGATTGAGGAAACGTACGGCCATCCAGTGCAAAATGAGATACGATTAAAAGCCTTCTCTAGAGTTGGAAGAGATTTACCTAACTTTCTATTCTTCTTGACATTGTTACTACTATTTTAAAATGGAATGTTAAAACAAAAACAAATGTTTGTGATATTAGACTTTAATTATACGCATATCTATTTAGTCATAACTTTGTTATTACTCTAAAATTTTAGATTATCAAGAGTTAGTGTAGGCCTGGACCGTATGATTATGATAGATATTTTATTCGAATTGTATATACATTTGTTTATAGTTTTAGAATTGTATAGGCTCTGATTATGTGATGTATATTTCTGTAAAATAATAAATTTTTCTTGCCAAATTACCACATATACATAGATACAAGTGTAATATAGAAGATATTTCCCGAAATAATTTAGATTTCTTTAATGTTTGCATGCATGTTCCAGTGTTTATGTGTTCTAATAGTAAGGAATAATATAGCATGATTAAAAATTACTCAACTGCAAAATGTTAAATGTGTAGTTATTATCAAAAGCTTTGTTTATAAGATTATTTCGCATTAAATAAATAATTGATAAATAAACAATCTTATTTTTCACATGATTAAAATAGTTATTGAACTTAGAGGATTTTTTTAATTGTCATTCAGTCACTTTTAGTAATATTACCTAAAGATACCTGTACAATTATTTGATGACTGAAAGTTCTTAAACAGAGACAGTCAATCAGTTTCCTTGGAAAGAAAACCTTACACAAAAAACAGCGTGACTACAAAGCCGTTATATTCATAGAATAGTTTTAATTTACTTGTTTTATGTCAGATTAAACATCATTTTAGTTATACATAAACAAAACTTTGCTCATAAACCAAAGTTGTTCCATAAGTATACTTGACTTTTCGCCGATGAACTTTTACACACAAAAAAAAAACAACACCAACGTGATAAATAATAAATGAAATGTTAAAACTTTTGTCACGCGCCATATTTAAGTGAAAATATGGACCCTCGCTGATATTATTTTAAAGGCTAACGAAATTGTAAGCGAACATAAAAAATCACGCCTCCCCTCCGGGATACCACTGCGGCTTTTTGCCAGTTTTTTAATATACGCGTGCTTCATTCCATTATAATTCCATTACATAACATGTGTAAATTTAAGCAAAGCGTACATTATAATTTTTAACAACATTATTAGGTTGTACTAAGAATATATCAGATCTTGAAAGTTATATTAAACTGGACTAATCAAAGTTCTTTTTTATTAATGGATTTGTTGTTCAATGTAAAATAAATTATGACGTATGTTTTACATATAAAGGTGTGTAGAAGTTGAAATGTTTTATAACATGTTTTACTGAATAAAACATGTGTTATTAATATGTTGTTCATTAAATCAGACGTATTATATTTTTATTAAAATATTCATTGCATTGCAAATACCAACGCATGTTTAACATGTGAATGTGGTTGGTGTATTCCAATGAAATGCTCGTCAACCAGATACTATTTCCGCTGTATGATTACTATGAAATATGAAAAACTTTTCACTTATTGATGTTAGGAATATTTCTTCTGAATAAACTGTTGTGCTCTACTAGTTATAATTTTATTTATAGATATTAATTTTGTTTTATGAGTGCTATGTTAATGTATCTTAGATTTCAACATTACAATATTTTGGGTAAACGTTATTTATAACATAGTTGTAATTGAATATGTTGTGGATACTTCGGAATCTGTTGTATTAAATATTTCTACGGGTGTTTTGTTGTATTATTACCCTTTCAATTTAAATAATATGATTAGCATTTTGATTAAAAGAGTTTAAATATTATTTTTCTTTATTTTTTAATCCTTTTTTATTTATTATGACCATACAATTCGATGTAAGTCACTATTTGATATAGATAACTAAGATATCTACATATTATCACTGTTATTTTAAAGTTTCATAAGTAGTTTGTTATATTTTTTTATGTAGCAATTTTTAGCACCAACGTTCCAAGAAAAAGTGCTTTTTATTGGGGCTAAGTTGTTTTTCTTATATTCAATAATCAATATCTTCCGTAAGAAGACCACTTACTAAAAGAAAAGCGTTAATTCACCGTAATTTCTTCTTAATACCTTAAGTGCCGAGGCCGTGACTAAGATGGGTATTAGTTGGATTAAGCCGATAAGCGGTTTTAGTTTGTATCTTTATAAATATTATAATTTATTATTCATATATTACAATAAGTAATATAACGCATTCAATTAAACTGAATGATGTGCTAAAATATTCTATTTAATGCTACAAATTTAAAGTCAAAATTAAAGCATCGTTTGGTTTACTTTGTGAAACACGTCTCAGTTTTTTTTAATTTGTATTTCCCTTTTTTTATTTCTATTGTATACACGTAGTTATATTGTTTAAAAACATTTCACTACAATGGAGAGTAAAATTAAGAAATAAGTATATATATAGGTACATACATGTTATAAAATAAATATCCGTTTCCGAGTTATATATATATATATATATATATATATATTGTTATATTATCTGATACATTGTTTGCATCCGAGTTCTTAGATTCGATAAAGTAAATTAATATGGTGCTAAAGAATAGCAAATTCTGTTATGTTAAAGAAATTACTACAAGTATTTTAAGTATTGTATGCTATTTCATCGATGTAAATTAGTTTCCTTCTGCCATTGCAACATAAAGCTACATATCTTTTCCATAACGTGTAAGCAATAGTTAAAAGAAGAAATAAAATTAACACAAGTTATTAAATTAATACAAAGGACAGTAACAATTATTTAACTTTTTAAGTGACTATAATAAAAGTATCAAGTTTCAATTTAAAGTTTTATATGCATACGAAGGTTTTGTTATTTATTTGGTCCTGGTTCGCTTATGAAATAAGATAAGTTAGAAAATATTCTTAACTATTATATGGAAGGTGTAACTTGATACGTTACGTCATATAACTTCCTTCATTCTACTATATAATGAACATCATTATTTCTGTACTATTAAAGTTCTTTTAAAACGTAAATATTTTTAATCGAGAGCAATAAAGTTAAAAGATTCTTTTCTTCATACAATGTAGAAAAATAATAGAAAGACAGAATGTCTGATAATGTGATCTAACATTTATTGATATTAGCACGGTTTATACGATTTAATTCTATTCAAATTAGATAGTGAATGAACCTTTTTGTTTGTAATTTAAAAAATATATATTTTAACGTTTTAAAAAGTTTATGTATCGCAAAGTTTTATTAGATTTTTCTTATCTTGAATTAACTACCAATAGCCCAAGTACCATCAATTAGTTTATTAGAATTGTCTTTAAAGTTAAAAATGTGTTTGGAAATGTAAAAAAAAATTCCACACTTTTATTATTTTTTTCGTATATTTTTCCAAAGATACAACAAATACAATAAAATTTAAACGAATGCAGGCTTTTCTTCTTGAGACTCAGAATATTGACTTTTTCGTTCGTACATACAGTATTAAACGATGATTTCAAAAATAAAATATTAACGAAAATTAGTTGTCTTTAGATACTATAGCAAAAATGGGATCGGTTGATGCATTAATGAAAGAGAGATGAGGTAGATAAGTGATATGAAATACATGTATCAAAAAGTTCTTTTGAAGAAGCCAAAAATATTGATATATACATTTCTTTTATCAACAAAGGCAGTTTATGCATTACAAAAGGTGAATATAAAAGTGAGAGACTAAAAACTTTTTTACTCTCCGCACTCTTTTAATGCAAATTTGATCCATAAGTAAATTATATGGAAATTTTTCCTAAGAGATCCCTTTATTTATTGAGCACATTCAAATTTAATTGACTCAGAAAGTTTTTATATAGATTGCTATTCTCAATGAAGTTCATTTAACTTAGACTAGATTTACATTTATTACTTAAGATACCGGGAAAGTTACTAACATTAGTTTATACGTTTAATACTTGGGTAGTAAGAATCAATATATAGTATATAATACAAGAAAAAGGTTAAATAGTACATAGTGTATTTTTTTTAAATAAAACATGTAAGCTCAAAATATTATAATTTCCATGAATTCATGAAATATTACTATATTATGTCAAAAATAATATGTTTACCGCAATGGCATCGCGTTAATTATTTCAATTTTAAATTTATTTAATTAATCTCATAGCTGTTAGTAAATTGTTTTTGTAACGATACATTCTTATATTGCTTTATTGATTTTCTTGTACTTACTGAGTCTATATATTTATTAAGCTGGTATTATTATATAAAATATTTAATTAAGTAATACTAAAAGTACAAGATTTTTAGCGATGAAACAATAGACTTTCGTTTAAAACAAATAAGTCTTTTGGTTTAATTATTAAATTTATTATCTGCTTAATGTTCCAAAAATATTATAATTGATTTGCTAAAATTCTTTTAAATTATTTTGTTAACTAGCTGCCCGGCGGACTTCGTACCGCCCTATAATAAAGAACTATTCGGATTGGACTATAATGATGGACACGTATGAAAAACAATATAAAATCCCCGAGGATATTTGTGCGTCGGCCTCCAGACCGGATAAATTTCTGTTTTCGCGAATTTTAAAGCGCGTAGTGATGATAGAGCTTACGGTCTCTTGGGAAACCAACATCCCCAAAAACCATACCATCAAGGTCAACAAATATTACGACCTCACAAACGAACTCACTCGAAATAGGTTCGTAGTAGATTTGTACGCAGTAGAGGTGGGAGTGAGAGGTATAACAGCGAAATCTCTCTACAACCTACTAAAGGACTTGGGCTTGTCCAGAACTCACATTAATGCATTCTTGGAACGTACATCGAAGGCAGCCCTAGTAGGTTCTTTTCAAATTTGGCTAGGTAGGGAGAGGAGCTTGGACAGTGGAGGTGAGCGTATAACGCGCGTTAGTTAAGGGGCCCCTTAAACCTACACTTGGGTTGCAAGTCCCAGGCACCGTTGAAGCTCCTCTCCCTGCAACGCGGTGGACCCGGCACCCGCACGGTGAATCCATAGAATGCTGAGAAGTGTCATCTCATCTGAAGCTTTTTTATCTGAATGAAATTAATTTCCTTATTCCTCAATTTTG